TGCCACATTCTAGCACAAGCATTTCATCCAGTGGCAATTATTGTTACATCACATATTTCCTAACTTGGCCTTCCTGAATTTTCCACCTCAGTTTCTTGCCATCTATTAGTGTTTTGTACCCAATGTTGAAAGTAACAAGACAGCAGCAACTGAACACCTTAAAATAAAATAATAAAATTAAAAAAAGAAAGTAGTTTTGCCAGCTAGGAAATCCTACAGCAGAAACTAAAGCAGTTCTAGAGTTAGACCCTGAAAGTGCACCAATTTTAGAAGAGTGAAGATTTAAACTCTGCAGAGATTAAATTAGAAGGACACCTTTCAGGCAGCAGCTGATCCTTACAAGGGCAGAGGATAACAAAATACACACAACACTTGCCAAGAAAAGCACCCCTCAGTGTCACTGAGGTTCTGGCTGTTCTCTGGGGACAAGAAGCTGAGTGTGAGATAATCCCCGAACAAGCCCACCTTCCTTCAAAACCTGAGGGAAGAATATAATTCATTAGAATAGGCTGCAAGGGAAAGCCTAGGAAAGCATGGAACAGTTTGGGCATTCAGGGACAGCTGCAGGGGCACTGCAGGGCAGGATTCCCCACCTGCATCATGGATGCTGCACAACAAGTGTCCAGGTCCCAGCCATGCCCAGCAGCCCTGGGAATGCATTGGCACAGCCCAGCTGGCTCAGTGGCACTGCTGGACCCCATCAGGGACCTTCAGCCCCCCACTTCTCCTGGCCAGCCCCACAGAAGGCAGCAGAGGTTTAGAGCAGTTCCTTTCCTCTTCTCACAAGTCAGAGTTTATTGTTTGGTTGAATATCAGACAAACTGCACAAGTTCCTGAGAAAGATTACACACTGCTCTGCATGTTAGAAATCTTGCTAATTACACCTTGGGTAAGGAAAACTAATACTGAACTAATAAATTAAGCATTCATGTTCCATTTCCAGGTTTTAAATAACTGAAAAATCCCACTTTTTACTCCCTCCCTCCCTTTCTTCCCCACACCTGTTTTGTTCTTGTTTCTTTCTTTATGAACATGAGTGAAAGCACTGGGAAGATTTTTACTGTGGAAAGTAACACCCCTGACTATTTGAAATTTCTTATCTAAAAACAGCAGTTACTCTGAGGTAATGGTGGTAGGCTTGATTTCTGTAAGGAATTTAGTATTTTCTAGCTGGATATACTTAACTAATATTTAGTAGTAAACACTAATAGGAAGGATATTTTTATCCAAAACCAGCTAATTTTAACATTCTTACAAGTGCTTTTTCCTTAAACAGAAAATACATACAGTACTTAACCTGAGAATCAAATTTCATTTTTCTGCAGAACACCTGCATGTAAGAAATAGTGGGAAAAACTGGCTTCTAATTGTAAAAAATATGCTAAAATGGCTGTCACTGATTAAAGACACTGAATATACTAAATTGCTTTTATAATTAGGAAGAAAACATTTTATATTTTAATACATCCACTTATGTCTAAAAATTTCCTTCCATCTCATCACATAATACAAATCAGCCTTCTCTTTCATGAGACAGAATGTTCAAATAGAAGCTGCAATCACCTGAAAGCAAGAGGTTAAAAAAAAGGTACTAACAGAAACAAAAAAAATACACTGAATATTTTAACAACTGGACTAAAACTGTACAAAAGAAAAATTGCCAAAGATCCAGTCAAAACCCAACAATATGCACAAACACCAACAGGAACAAAACCTTGACGTTTAACAGTCCAAGGCTACTTTGGAAGAGCAGATGTGCTGTGTAGAAGCAGGGCTCAAACAGATACAAGGTGAAATCTGTGCTCTTTAATTAACTGCATTCTCCCATCACCTCAGTGAAATGAACTCCTTGCTCCTAGAGTGGCAGTGTTTGTGTACTGACACCTCAGCCATTTGCAAAGCTGCTGTGCCTGTGAGTTCCTGGGTTCTGTGAGGCACTGTCTGGGCTCTACTCTCAAAAACTGAAGCCAGTCACAGAATTATGAAGGAGCAATGACCAAGACCACCCTTCCTTCCCCAATGCACAGCCAAAGGCACAAGCAGCCCTCTCAGCCAGCTGTGTTATGTTCTCACCCAGGGATGAGCACAACCACCCCAGCAGGCACACAAAGAGCGGCAGAAGCACCTCCCCTCTTGCTGAGCTTGGAACTAACCCTTGTCCCTCTGCAGTCTCAAACTGACCCAGTTCCAGAGTCCTGGAAAACAATGCATTCCACTCCTCCACTGAGACTGGGCAGGCTATTAATAGAGTGCAAGAGCACACTCTGAGATACTTTCCCAGCAGAAGCTGCACAGGAGAACAAGCGTGCCTCAGACTCCAGAGCTTCTTGGATCTGAGACTCTTCCCCTGCTTAAAATCCACACACCCAGAGGGCACACAAAACTCAGCTCTCAGCTGCCTGCCCAGTGTCCAAACCTGCCTTGCAATTCCCCAGACAGAATATCAGAATATCACAAGCTCTCCCTGAACTGATACCGAGCACAGCTCACACAGGGAGAAAGCATCTTCTGAGAACTGCCAGAATAGCCAGTGTCATCCTGATCTGACCAAAAGAGCTCAGCTCTTCAAGTCATCTCTATTTTCCACTTCTAGCTGAAGTACCAAAAATATGGTGAAGTAGAATTAGGAATGTTAAATTAAGAATTTGTAGCTTTCAACTGCTTCATATTTAAGATGCCTACCCAACACAGAAAAATTAAAATCTCTAGTCAGCAACTCTGTGGGCTTAGTATCAATTCAACTTGCACTTCCATTACAATTAACATTCCATATTTTCTATATTTCTAGGCACTGAATGCTATCCTTGCTGGTATTTGAAGATCCACACTAAATATCTGAAATTTGAAAGAAGAGGCATGTAATTTCCAGTATTCAGCACAACTCACTATTTAACAAACACTTGTTAAGAAGTGAGATGAGAGAAAAATGCATCAGCCTGCAGACAAATAGAGCACCACACAAGTGTGCCAGTTCAGATCATTTATGACACCAAGTTTAACATTCATCCATTACTCCTGACTAAAGGCTATTTAACAATCCTCTAGAAGAGGACAATGACAACACAGATGTGATCCTATGATGTGGCTTTATGTTCTTACTACTCTCACATGTTGCTATGTGCCATCTGTGGCAAAACACAGCATTGTATCATCATCAAAAACCAGCCTTTTTTGTTTCAACATAATTGTTTATATGCCCTTGACTCTGGAAAGAATATCCATTGTTGAGCTTTAATACACAAACCAGAGCTGAGCTGTCTTCAAATTCATATTCTTCACCTCATTAATGGATATTTAGGTAGAGAAGAACTAAGGATAGTTAGTCCCATCTCATGCCCTTTCAAAACACACACTTAAATGACACTTAGCTTATACCCTGGTAAGCAGAGACAGTTGGGGTTGCATTTATAATCCACAGAACCTCCCAATTTCCTTACACTCGTTATCAATGCTATCAAGATTTTGGAATGACCTTAGTCTTATCAATAGGCCTACTTCTCAGATGGAGTGTTTAGTAGCATTTGGTTATCACATGGATTTACAGGTTTAAACACTAGCATGTCTGGAAATAGCTCAACTCAGGCCCACAGGGTCATCATCAGATGGCCTCTGATGAGGACTTCAAAAAAAGTAGCAAACATCCCTATCCATAACTCAAGACAGAAGAAATCAGAAGCATGGAACATCTTGTTCCATGAAAATCAAGAAAATCCAGCAGACAGAGCTGATGACAGAATCATAATTTCCTGTCTTTGATATCGAAGTATTACTCTATCCTGCTGGATTTATTACTAGAAAAATAATGGTCATGGTTTGAATTGCTTAAATTTGCAGCAATGGCAAAGGCAAAACATTTCAGGATCCTATCAAGGCTTTGAACATGCATGGCTTTTTAGTATTATTTAAATTGTTGTGATTTGGTAAATGCAGCAATTGAAATACGATGAGTTTTCTTACAAAGTTTCAGCTCACTCTTCCCTTGTGATATCATTAAGCCACTAAAAAGTAAAAAGCTGCTCCTGGGTGCCTTCTGTGCCATACACAAAGAGCTGCTCACTGAGAGACAAAACCTTTACTCCAGTAAAGGAGCTCAGGTGAGCTACCCCGACAGACCATCACATCTCATGTGGGCTCTGCCCCACCAGGTGTGCTACATTTGTACCTTCCTGTTCACAAACACTCAAATGTGCTGCATGTGTACCTTCCTGTTCACAAACACTCAAATGTGCTACATTTGTACCTTCCTATTTACAAACACTCAAATGTGCCTCATCTGGCTGCAGCTTTCCTTGCATGTCCTCAGGTCATAAAGAACAATAAAAGAAGTCTCAGACTTCTGCAGGACAGAAAGGTCCACACAGACACAAAAAGACACAGAAATCAGTTCCCTGTGATATAGGGATGAAGAAATAGCAGAAAAATATGTGCAGCATGTTATTGCCCAGTACTGAGCCACTCAGAGTACGTCCTTGGTATTCCACTCTACAGCAGCCAATCTACAGATTATTCCTCTCTTAAATTTCTTGCACTTTCACTTCTTACAAAAATTTTGCTTTGACTGTACTGCAATAATTCAGTGACAGTTACTAAAAGTTTTTTAATAATCATCACCTGAAAAAACCCAGAACACACAATTGCAAGAGATCAAGCCACGGATTGATGTACTTTTGAGTTTACATCAGTAATGACATCTCTTACCATATCAATGCCAGCTGCTAGGAAGCTAAGGAAGGTTCAGGCAGCTATGAAAGAATGAAGCATGCAAACCCCTGACAAAGCTGTGTTAGAATACATCCCATTCCCCCAAAGCAGAGGTTTCATCCAAACTTGCTTCTGTCATTTTCTAAGCACACTGTCGAGTGACAGCATCACAGTGGGCACACTGATGCTCCTGTCAGGCCTGGAATTAAGACTCAGCTCATCTCTAAGTGCTTGCTCTGAAGGAAAATGCAGGCTAGAAACTATCCCAACTCTAGGATGAGAGATATTTCCATACTTACTGGTGCTACAATTTTGCCCGTCTGTCCGACCTGCAAGTCATTAGGAACAAAGCCAGCATCAACAGCTGCACGGGAAGCTCCAACTGGTTGAAAGAAAATATTTTCAGTGTTTTCTTTTAAAATACTTGCAAGCCAAATTTATATCACCAGAAAAGCCCGTGTATTTTACTGAAGAGTCCCACACTCTAAGGGCACATATTTAAAAACTTCCCTCTTAAAAGCTCTTATGGTAATCCCTCTCTATACCACTAGCTAAAAACCTCCAAATACTAAGTGCTAATGCACTTCATAAGCAACAGGAAATCCCTACTCCCAGCACCAAAGGGCCATATATTTAAACCAAGGATTTCAATCTGGCATATTTCCATGATTTTTTTTCTTGTTGCTTTGTCAAAAGAAGATTTTCCCATAAATGCCTTCCCAAAATGTTCCTTCAAGTCCGAATGCAGCATATGTGCTATCTTGTATTGCTGTGAACCTCAAAAATCAGGCATGGTAAAGAAAAATATAGTAAACTCAGAAATGCCATATGGACATTTAGTTAGCAAAAACACCACTTTAAAAACAAGCCAATCATGTGAATGCTAAAATTAACGGAAATAAAACATTAGAGCGAATAGTTTCTCCTTCTTTCCCAGCCTTTACAGAAAAAACTTCACTGAGACATTGTATATAGTTGATTTTCTCCTGTTAATACAAAAGCACAGCAAAAGGGCAGAGCCACTCAAACTACAACAATGTGAGTGGAATTCTGTATAGAAGCACTAGAAAAGGATGTATGCAGAGAGTATCAGCTCTTCAAAATGAGCTAAGACTACTTCACTTTTTGTTTGCAAGCTTCTGTTCTGGAGATTTGAGCAGCACAGGGAATATTACAGGTTAATATTTTGCTTCATACACAGGCATTTAAGTATTATTGACAAAACTTTATCTATTACTAAACTAAGAGCATTTTAACCATTTGATAGAGACATGAAAATAAAAGACTTAAGATGAATTCTGGTTTTAATGTGACCTGTTTAAATATAATAAACAGGGTTAAAAAAATAAGGAGGAAAACAAGTTTACCTGCAGCATTCAACTGATCCGCAAGTTCATACAACAACTTAAAGTTTTCACCACTCTTCAAGCCCCTCCCTTAAAAGTTAAGAACAAAAGAAGATCAAGAAAGAAGAACATGGTGCTTTAAATTTTTTTGCCTATGTAAACTTTCTGTATGAGTATTAGCATTTGCAAAGACTCAAAGATATGGCTGCACAGGGTATTTCTGGATACATTACTAACCAGTATTTAATATTTGGAGATTTAGCTTTTTTCTTTGCCATTAATATTTCATATGTATAAACCAACACCACTCTGTCTTGTTTACTTCCTGCACACAGCACCATCAAGGTCATTCTCCAAAACCAGGGAAACAGAATTTTTTTAACTAATTTGTGCTCCCTCTGCTGGCTTCAGGAACAAAACACTGTAGTGAGATTAGTAAGAAAACATTTTAGCTGTAGGCATACAGTAAAAATCACAGTCCATCACTTGATACCTAAGGAGCAGAATACAATCAATACAGGTAATCATTTAGGTCATTAAGGTCATTACATAATAATGTTCAGACTGACTGAAATGACCAGCAGTAATTTTGATACATGATAAATTTTGATACATGAAAAACCATGATAAATTTCCATCTAAAAAACAATTCATATTGCTAAAATTTTAAAGAGGCTCATCCCATATGAAAATGTTCTTACAAAGCCTCCCAGCATATGCTAAACTCATGTATTACCTCTTTACACAATATACACGTCGGGTGCTTCCCCAGTAGCTCCCACGGAATATTTGAGAACTACATCATAATTTCTTTTTTTTTCCTAATGTATCCCATTACAGACATGATTTACCAAGAGGCCCCATTAGTGCAGTGCAGCATCAGCCAGTTTCTCTGTGATCACTCACCCCCTGACACAACCACCTTGGCACTGGTGAGCTCTGGCCGGTCGCTCTTCGTCAGCTTCTGCTCGATCCACTCCGACATCCCCACGGGCGGCGGGGGCGTCACTGCATCCACCACAGCAGCAAACCCCACAAGGAAAAGGAGAAAGCATGGGTTTGCAAGCTGAAACCTGAGCTCAAGCTTGTGTTTTCAAACTGAAATCTAAGCTCAAGCTCAATTCAGAGTTCATTCTAGAACCAATTCTGCTGTGTGCTTTTGCAGTTGCGGCTGGCACTGAGGAACGAGCCTCGTTCACCAGCTGTGTTCAGGGAACTACAGTACCAACTGCACCACAAGGAATTCTGCTGTGTTCAGGGAACTACAGTACAAACTGCAGCACAAGGAATTCTGCTCTATAAGTGCCACACACTGATACCAACCCAGCACAAGTGTGAGCCTCACTATCACAGGCAGACAAGTCAATCAGGCAACATCAGCAGTGCAACATGCTCATTCAGGAACGTTTGACTCCTGCCAACCACAGATGTTAGGAAATACAGGATGGTTCACAGGCAGGGACTAAGCCCCAAAACAAAAAGGCCCACAATGAAAAACAGCAGAGGTCACCAAAATGGAACAGGTTGCCCAGAGTAGTTGTGAAGTCTCCACCTGTGGACATTCTCAAAGCCTAACTGGACACAGTCCTGGGCAACCTGCTCCATGGGGCTGGACTAGATGATCTCTAGAGATCCCTTCCAACCTCAACTGCTTTGTCATTCTTGACTGGATTTCTCAATTATCTGAGCTACACTGGCTTCATTAAATTGTAAATTGAACTGATACAGTTAAAACTGATCTAAAACTCTGTATTCTCAAATCAATTTAAACTGCCACTAATTTAGCTTGATGATGTAATGACCTATCTCAATTGCAATATGATTAAACCAAAACTTCTATTTTTGCTCAGTCTTGTTTTGAAAACCAATCTGGCTATTTAAACAGCTGTAACTTGTCCTTCCTTAGTTTCAAGACTGCAGTGGCAGACATTTAGGCAGCGAGTGGAACAAGCACGGATTTAAGCACAGATCCTCTCCATTTCTGGTCAAAGAAAAGGAAGTAACTGTGCACATAATCTCTATCTTCTCTTATCAGACATCACTAAAAAGTGCAAGCGCCTGTGATTAAAAATATGAAGCCTACATGATGACAATCACTTTGCTTTGACAAATCCTTCTACAAAACATCACCAGGCAGTGAGCAAAACTAAGTCTATTAAACAAAACAACAGCACCCCAGAACAAATACTCACACTTTTCTACACTGGCACTGCCCCCACTCGCTGGTGCAGCCTCAAATGAAGTTCCCCGTACAGTAAACACTTTGACTGCTTCATCACACTGCACAGTGCAAATAATATTTCCTAAAAAAAGGGACATTAAAAATTTAAATATTATCAGACATATTGTGCTTTTAAAAAAACCCCAAAATTAATATCAAAACCACATTAGCAGTTGTACTGGAATATGCAACATCCAGCAAGGTACCTCCCAAAAATGCAGTTTTAGATGACTAAAACTTAGCACTTCATAAATAGAGATTAAAAATACTTTAATTGATGTTTTAGCCCCGTGTTTCTAAAGTATGAATACAAATCCTCTATTTTTAAAGGATACAAAGCATTCAAATCATCTCTTAAGAATGAGATTTTAAATTTCAGAAGGGATGAAAAAAACAACTTTGAAAATGCCATTTTTACACATAAAGAATGTCTATAATTCAAAGTAGACCTTTTATCCTGTTGCATGAATTCATCAGAACTGAAGACAATGAGGCCTCCCCCAAGTATCTGTGGGACTGTGTTTCTCTCTATAATATAATACAATACTTCAAACTGGAGGCTGCAGGGAATGCTAAAAGAAAAATTGCTGCAACATTCATAAACGTTCAGCTATTCACAAACAAAGTCATCTTGAAACTGTGAATTACTGGAAAGTAACTTTAAGTGCAGCACTAAACCACATTCCAGGACCATAACTCAAAATATAATACCCTGCTGGTACATGTGGTACAACTTTACAGTAAAATTAAGAAACACAAGCTAATGAGCTAATATCTAAAATAAAACAGTGTCAGCCAAGCATTAAAGAAACAAGACTAAAAAATAATTACAAATTAAGGTAATTAAATATTAGAAATAATTCACTCAATGTCTTCGTAATTAGAAAAAATAACCCTGTGGTATCTTAAATCAGAGCTAATGCAAGTCCTATTAAATAAAGCTGGACAATTAACCTGATGTCTTATGCTTTCCAGAACCTGATCAGAAGGGCATTAACAAACACAGCACATGGAAAGGATGGGACCAAATTCTGTTCCTTAAGGTGACAGACATGGGTCTGACATGCTTCCACAAAAGCCCTTGGAATTACCTCCTTTCTCACACAGGGAGTATCCTGTCCATCCCCAGGCTTCATTTTTTATGAATCACAGCAATTGAGATTGTAAAGGGAAAACTCCTATCATATTCCAAGGTTTTAACATTAGGGTCATGTAGAGAAATTAGCACTCCTGGATTCTTCACTGGACAAAGAGCACACAGCTTTTGTGATTACCCACCTGCATAGATAGTTCTCACAAAAGTATCTGGGGACTTAATTTCAATAATGTCAGAAACAGGGGCAACATCAAGCTTGCCAGCCACTCTGGGAATAAGATTCTAGAAATTAAGAGATAAAAAGTTAGCAAAGTAAGCTAACTAAAATGTACACAGTCAGTAAAAGAACACTGCTGACCTGATTTCATATAATGCTGTCTCTGAGACATATAGAACTACGATTTTTGAAGGGCTACTCATGTAGCCTTAGCAGCCAAATAAAACCCCATTACTGTAATAACATTAGACATTTTATGAGACTTACTGTAAGTAAACCCGTAATTCAATATCTTAAATTAGGAGACTTATTTGCTTCAAATATTCTAAAACTGAATATAAATGCCACTTACTCAGAAAATTGACAGTTATGGATTGTTGAGCTCTTGGCACTTCAAAGGAAAAAAAAATGGTGCTTTTGGAAGTTAGATGCCAGAAATTATAGGAAAAAAACCCTGCACTCTTCCCTCCAGAAAAAATAAAAATTAAATTTAATATTAAAGTACATATTCTCTTGCTCCAAAACTTACTCTAGAAAATTACTTAGCACCTTTAGGAGTGGGAAGAAGGATAAAAAGAGCAGAAATTACGAAGAAATCAATGATAAGATAATTATTTGCTTTTTGTCTGCCTCCTAATCTGGTACAAGAAAAAAAGGCCCAGGTCTGAAATCTTCACTCACATGAAGCACTCAAAAATGGCAGTGTAAGCTTTAAAGCAAAAGCCATTAACTCCTATGACACTGCAGTTAAAAAAAAAGAAAAAAAAAATTTAAAACCTAAGTCTTAACTTCTCCTAGCAAAAACACAAGCATATGGATTGCTATTGATTGGAAGTGAAAGCAGGCAGATGGAAGGCCGATGTCTGCCCGTCCTACAGCGGCACGATTTCTGAAGGATCCTTTTCTTCTAATTTACTGCACCACAATGCTGCCCAGATTCTTAGTACTGAGCCTCTCCATGTACTTATAAACACAATGAAATAAAAAGAAGTTTTGAAAAATAAAAATCGTATTTTCATTACAAACCATCCTGGCTGGAACTTAGCTCTGCGTTATTTATATATGTTTACAGACATTTTAATGCACATGACTTCTACCACAGATGCAAATCCCACTGCAAAAAAAAGTTTGCTTCCAATAGGTTTGCTCACTCTCATTTCAACATGCAAATAACAGATTTTTCATCCCAAATTGGTGTGCTTTTCCTTACAATTTTCATGCTTTCAGATCACTTAATCTGGTTTGCCTTCTTGCACATTTTGCCTTGTGTCCATAGGATTGGCTGGTTACCACAGATCATTTCTTCTACACTATTTTTTTCACATCAGATCATAAAAGAACTCAAACGTGAATCATGAAATCTAACTAATGACTTCTTAAGCAAACTAGTGTAAAATAGTTTGCAAATGCAGAAGTGTCCATGGCTGATCTCTCTCAGGCCTTTGATTCACACTCTTACATACAGCAGTGTCTGTCTCTTCTACAAAAACTTTTTGATGCTCTTTGATCTACTCACCTTCCCAAAGGCAGATGCTCCGGCACAAATGTGGGTGTAATTGAATTTTTTATGAGTTTCCACAATCAAGGGAGTCAGCTCCTCTGAAAATAAAAATACATTGCTCAGAATTTACAACCATCTTAGTTTCAATCACAAACACAAATACATCAATAAATTTCTTTTGTGAATAGGTAAGAACAACTCTCACCTGCTAGAAATCCCTTGTATACATCATGCTGAGCCACGAGAACTTTTGCAACACCCTGCACTTTGCTGAGCTCTGATGCTACCTGTGATTACAAGTAAATTATTATTAGTTTGTGTTTTAACAGGCACCACAAACATATAACAAGGGAGTCTCCACTGCTCACAGCCTACAGATTCATAAAACCAGAACCAAAAGTACATGAATTTCAAAATCAGAACAGACCTGAACAGAATAAAATGCAGGTCTTCTGATCCACAGCACAGCTCCTTATGGGATAATGAAAGCGAATTTGTGAATCAGAGAACTACGGAGCAAATCAACCTCAGGAAAAGTTGCCTGAACCTTGCCTCCTGCATGCAGGGCTCCACAGCAATCCCAGCATTTCTTACAGCAGCCAACAACAGCCACACTTGAGGATTACTGCTCAGTATTCCAACACAATCACCAAGAAACAAATTCTACTTTAAGTTCAGTCAGTATCTACCATACAAACAAATGTACAATGCTGTTACGATTTTTGTCCAAATTCTAGGAGCAGCCCTTTGTTTGCATCTGACTTTTTGCCCACTGAAGCAATGTGTATTTTCAATTTATATTTATGCATTTTTTTCGTTTGAATTGGCACAAGTGAAGTTTAAATGATAAAAGGGTTACTACAGATCAGAGAGAAGAGGACTGACAGCAAGGTCTGGAGACCACATGCATCGTTCAGGAACAGAGTAGTTTTACTGAGTTTGATGAGTATCAGTTTACTCTCAAAAATTAACAAAAGGAAATAAAGAAAAAAATCCCTAGTAGCTGCTGCAGAATATCTGTTTGAGTCACTGGCTCTTAAATAAAAATCTCTAAGCCTTCATTTTTTGTAAAATACTTTTTCCCACCATAACACAGACTCCATATATTTAGCATTAAAACAAACAAACAAAACATTCACAATCATTTTTCTCCTATGCAATGCATAGAATATGGAAAATTAAAGACACACATGTCAGGCAATTATGTCTTTTTTCTTTTTAATTTTCTTGACTTAGATAAATATTTGCTTCATGTCCACCTCAAACACCTGAATAGCTACTAAGGTTTCTCCACCTATTTGTGAATAAGCTGCTCTAAGTACGCCTTCTTCATGAGATACTACATGTTGCTTTCAAAATAACAGTGCATAAACAGTATGTAAATATTAGGCATAGCTTTTTGTGCTTCTACTGCTCACACAACACCAAGTCATGCTGGAATAAAAGTGCCACTAATGTACTAACTATATTGTCTCTAGAATTGGCACATCAAAATTACACTAAAAATGCACAGCTAATGTACAAGGAACTTTTTACATACGTGAGCTGTGTGATGAAGTCAAGAAGCTCTAATTTCAGAATTTCAGGTTGCAAACACTTTGTGCACAACAATTTCAGGTTGCAAACACTCTGCACATCACTAGTTGTGCAGAGAGTGTTTGCAACCTGAAATTCTGAAATTAGCAACTTGCTCAAAAGCCCAATTTATCACTGTTGTTTCACTTCTGCTGCTTTCCATTTAAACAAGCAAAAGCATTTTTCCAAATTCTTAGCACTGCAATGTTTGTCATTTAAACTTTACAGAGATATATCTTGTTTTAAAAGTTAATTGTCCTTTAGTCCCATAAAAATTTGCTTGCTCAAGCATGTAACACCCATTATTGATACTGTTCCCTGTGAAATGAAATCTATACCCATATTTTCTCTTTAGAAGAGAAGCAGTTCCAAGTGCAGGACTTTTCTGGCAGATTAGCAACTCCTGGCATGTTTTCTCCTGACTACAGATTATTTTTCAGGCTGCCCGAGATGCTGCCAAGTGTTGTTTCACTGCATTCTTTATTTCATTGCTATGAAAATAGCATTTCCTACCTTGTCACAGCTGGTACCAGCCACCAGGCAGGACACCTCCCCTCCCAGGCTCTTTGCTGCAGTGATGGTGTTGAGGGTGATGCCTGAGAGGGACTCATTGTTGTGCTCTGCCACCACCAAGGTGCTCTTCGACCTCCGCAGCACCAACGCCTGCAAAGGGAGAAACTTGCATTGAAATAAAACCAGTGGGAAACTTGGCATTGAAATAAAAACCTGCTCCTCTGGGCTGCACAGAAATCCATCACTTATACGAGTCGTAAAACACTGCTAGGCTCATTCTAGATAATTTTTATTAAGTAAAGAGAATCCATAGGGTGATACAAAAAGGAAAAGACAAATCTGCTTGGCTTCAGCTTGTCTGTAACATGCTGTGCTTAAACTGAACTCCATGGGAAAATACTGAACAAAATTAAGAAAAACATTTTAACACATTACATTCAAGCTCAGCTGATCAACTTAACCAAGTGCCTTAAAGAGGGAGGATTAGACAAGGAAATAAACAGTTGCAAATAAATATTTACTTGGTTTTCTAGGGTGGTTCTCTGGCAGTGTTTTATTATAAGTTTTAAACAAAATCCAGCTACAGAACCCACTTTTATATTTAGAGGTAAAATTTTATGCAGCGGTTGAATGAAAATTAAGCAGCAGCAGCTGACAGCCTGAAAACACACTAGGAGAAATCTTTACAGGCATCAGGTTCACTTTTCCCTCTTTTCCTTCAAAACATTTGAGCACTTAGTCTACCACCACAATTTAATGGTCCTTAACAACTTTGACCAATTCACCAGAAATACACAAACTTGAGCTTCTAAAGCAAAAATCAAAGAAACAAAAAAAGGCAAAAAACTGTCATAAAACTAAACCAAAATATTCTAAATTCTGGGATCTTCCTCTCTCATATTGAGGTATATGCGTGAAAAGCGTTATTCCTCCAAGACTAATACTAGAGAAGGGAAAAGATTTTGGACAGGAACAGGAAAATTGTCCCTCAAGTGTTTGTTTACCCTACATAAAGCCCAACTGAAGACTTAAGCAATGATCAGTGTAGGATGGGACACATGCAAAACCAAGTAAATTCATCAATATAACCAAGGAACAAACACAAACACAACGCTTAAGCCGCACAGCCAAACATTACTTTTTAAAATTTACATTCCAACCCCATCTCCCCTCACGCCAAACACTCACTTGCCTGCAACTTCAAATATAAAAAGCTTCAGAAAATATGAGAGGCTAAAATTTGCATCTGGACTTCAACCCCACAAAGCCTCCCAACATACTGAATTTCAAACACAGAAAGCAAATCCCAAGAACTTCCCTGAAGGTAATCACAGTGCACAAATAAAAAAATACCAAGATAAGTTTTTGCAGAACCTGGATCATAATTTGTCCTTTTGATTAAAACAATAAGGATTCTTGTAGAAGTGCTCTGCATTTAATCTCTTATGCTTAAGGTTAAGCATAATGCTTATGGCTTGCTGTCATTAAATATTCTAAGCTCCTTTGAAACCAATTGCCAGTAACAAAATATTTACTGCCACTATAGATCAGATGCTGTATTTTTGATTATGTTTCACACATCATCTGCAATAAAAGTTATGAAATTTTAGTCACCATTTGAAGAATAAATCCATGCCTTTGTGGCAAAAAGCCCACTCTCCAATGATTTACAGTTGTGCCATGGGGTAAAATGGAGCACACTCCTGGAAAATCCTCAAGTTTTCAAATTTCCAAATGGAGACAAATGCATTTTGATCACACATTTACTTCTGCCTATATTATCATTTTTTCCCTAATAAGCACTGCATCAGCACCATCATTCTGTCAAACCATTCTAGAATAAACTGAGAAATAATTGTTTTTTAACCAAAAATAATATGAGCAATAGAAGTTGCTTGAGCAGGCTATTACAGCATTTATCAGTATTATTTCTAAACCAATATTTTGGTTATTTTGGTCTAAAACAAATTTTATATTTGTAGGAATATACACAATATGCACACCAGAAGGTCACTTCATGGATGACACTTCTGAACATAAAGACAAGACCAGATTCAAAATAAATTTAAAGTCACATTATATATTATGGGTAAAAATCCAGATGACAAATGAGATTTCTATGCGAGTCTGAATTTTACATACTAGGACACATTAAATAATTTTCTCTATAAACAAAACCAAACCAAACTGACTTTTGTTCGTTATAATAAAGAAGTAAAACCAGAGGGTAATTCATCCAGTCATATGGTCCTGAAAACGAAGAAGCTGCAATGAGTCAGTGATAGGACAAGTGGGTATTTTGATGAAGTTACTGCACGTGTGGGAGAACAGCCCATCACTTCACTGACATCACTGCTGCTCTTGGGCAGGATGCCTACCTAGGAGGCCTAAATAAAATAGGAAGGTAGAGAATAAACCAGCTGGTAGCAAGGAAAGAAAGCACAACAAATAAGACACGCAGATCAATCAAACTGTTGAAAACAATGCCTTAAGAAGGAGCAGCACTCAGTGCTTGTGCCACGGAAGGTTCCTGGTGAAAACCAAGCTCTGGAAAATTAGACTACCCACAGAAATCACCTCCACATAAACATCCCACCAACCTGGGCACCTGAGTAGCTTCTGCAGCATGACAGCAGGTAATGACACCCCAGCAACAGGGAGGTAGAACTGGGAAGTTTCTTTTCCTCAGGTTTAGGTACAAATCACAAAAATCACAGCTACACAATCACACAAATCACAGCTACACACCTTATGTTTCCTCTACAGCAGAAACATGTACACCTCCTCTCTGGTGGAAACTCTGGACAGTGACTCAGTTTATAACAAAACTAACATTTGTGAATGAAAACCACCCAGAATTTCCAACTTCCCCTTCCCTCCCCAATATTTATTGTAGAGCCAACATGGCCTCTGACTTCCAGATGTTTAAAAGTTGCTAAGATTAACTCAGATGTGCAGTATTGATCAATTAAACCACTTGCAAAATAGCCACAGATTCACTGCACTGACTGTCTCAAGTTTCCCCAAAGCACTGTGTTGTTCCCCACTGAGGAATCCATCAACATTTCCCAACCAGAGCACAAAAAACTCCAAGTACAATATGTGGATTTCTAGACTGCAGACAAAATACCAGATATTGGTCACTGCTACTGTCACAGTGGAACATCAGCAATGTGGGCACACCCAGCACAGGTGCACAGGTGAAGCCAACAGCACACGCATCCAGGACCCACTGAATGGGCACAGGGGATCTGCTCTCCACACAAAGCCACTGCAAACTGAGCATCTCTTGGTCTGCCAGCACACACACAGATCACCTGAACAGCACACATGCCCAGCACCTCTTACACACAGATTTGCTGCTTGTATGCTAAAAAAACAGCTGCATCAAGAGCTGGAAAACCCAGAGGGAGGTGTGGTAAATCTGTGCTTGCTGCTTGGTGAGGTGGGTGTGCAGCAGCCGTGGCCTCTGCTGGCAGCCTGCTCCCAGGACACTCATTAACACCACCGGGATTGGGAAAGCAGCTCCAACTGAAACATGTGGCAGGCACAGAAACACAAGATGAGTCAGCTAAAAAGTTGTTCCAAGGAATGCCAGAGATGCAGCAGGTGAATTCTACATGGACCCATGATCCAAATATGCATCAATAAGAAACAGGGTGCTAGAAACTTCACGTGGGAAAATGAAGGTAGTTTCTCTTTAGGAGAGCCACCGGAAGTTACAAGAACAAAACCAAAACAGACATTCACAAGGCAGAGCACCAAACAACCGGACCTAAAAGGTATCTCTAGAGCTGATTTTCTTAGCTGTAAAAGCAAACTGGCCAGAACCTAAGATTTTAAAACTGCTTATCAGGAATTGTGGATCCCATGAAGAACCATTAACACAGAGCAAACTTCCCAAGAAAGAACTCCAGAAACTAGGAACTGGGGCATTACTAAAGATAAAGGCCACATTCCTAAACCACAAAGCAATGCCTAATTCTATTAAAACACTATCTTGTAGCTGTAAAACTTTAACTAAATAAATCTGGAAAACTCAGAGAGAGAAGGAAACTCAAGCATATACTTACACAACCTGAGGTCTAAAAGACAGCTCTATAACTCCAGGAAACACTAAAGGCATCTGAATTAAAAAGGAGCTATAACTGCAGCAAAGAACAACGATAAAAAAATAAAACCACTTTGCAAAAAGGATTTGGCAATCATAATAAAGATTTAATATTACAAAGGGATTGAAGCTGCAAGAGAAAGATGAAATACACAATAAACTTTTCCAAATACACCCCTTGCAAACCAACAATAAAAATCAACAAAGCTATTTTGAAATACAACACTGCGTTTCAACACAGGGAAGTCCCTAAATCGCTTATTCCCACCTCTACACCATGTTTTTGTGCACTTGCAGTCTCATTGCTCCTCAGTACTCCTATCTTTAAGTTGCACAGAAATTCAACTTTCCTTCCTGCTCATACTTCACAGGTTTCTCTCATCTTTTTCTTTAGACTACACTCACCATTGAGCTGAGTCAGCAGGGCTAAACTCTGCACTTTAGAAAAGTAAACAAAAACAATCTGTGAGTTTGTTTCACTTCTGTCACAGACTACATTGTTACACACACACTAAAGATGCACACGACGTTTTACTGGCTTTATTCTATAAAGTTAGAAGTTTAGATGTGTATGGCTGAAAACCAAGCAGCTGAACTCACACGTCCAGGCCACAGAACTGAACTGTGCAGTGAGCATGTGAGTAAAGTACTATTTACACAGCAGTACCATACGATTCAGAGATCATTGAGACCTTTGCTCTACAAAGCCTGCAGCCTAACAACTGAAACATGCCCGTGATTACAACAGTAAGAATTTTCTGATTAATTCAATCATGTCTGACCTCTCTACCTTTGCTCTTCTTTTGAGAGATTTTTATCACCTGACATCACTTAATATATGCATAACTACTATTTTAGAGCTGTACTGAAGTGTAGTACGTGTAAAAGCCTTGAAGAGCTCAAAAAGAGACTTGCAAGACTTAAAGTTGTTTACAAGGACTATTTACACACAGTTCTAGTGGAGGGGCTATCTCCTAGTGCACAGTGAGAGACTGAACAGATATTCGGGGACATCTCATCAATCATCTACCCCAATTAACCTTGAGTTCACCTCAACCTTGGTAACACAGCCACGATGACACACCAAGCAGCAAATGGCCTTCAACAGCCCAGCACTCCTCCCAGCGGAGCAATATGAAGGTCAAACCGGAGAAGCAACAGGTGCTTTGCATTAGCTTCATCCACAAGTTGTGATCATTAAGGCAATCACATTTCTGCACAGGTGTGACTGAAAACGGTGGATTAACTGCAATACTGCAGAAAGCCCCTCATTGAGCCACTAATATTCTTCTAGTATTCTTAAGAGTTTACAGTAACAAACTTTAGAAGTCTTGTCCACCTGTTGCTCAGCTTGTGCTGCTCAAGGGTGGATGAGAGCGAGCACTGCCAGAAGTTCAGGTTTTCCCCGACACCTACGTTAGCTTTCCACACGGGACAGCAATTCGCATCTCCTGCCTGCCGGGACCGCTGGAAGGCCTTGTGGAACACCCTGTGTCCACTCGGAAACTTTATTTTTAACAGACGGAGTGGGAGGGGAGTCCAGCCGAGAAGTCCGAGCCCGGAGCGCTCGCCTCTCAGAGACCCCCTCGACCACCGCTGCCGGGCGGGAGGAGCTCGGCCCGCGCCCCGCCCCGCGCCCCCTTCGCCCCACAGGGCAGGGCCCGCCCGGCCGGGGCGGCGGGAAGGGCCCGCCCGGTGCTCGGTGCGCGGCCCGGGGCTCGCCCCGCACTCACCGCCCGCCGCAGCCGCTGCGCCGCCACCGCCCGCAACATGGTTCCGCCGGCCCGCACGGCGCCGCTCTCGCGAGAGCCGCGCCGGCCCCGCCCCGCCGCCCCATTGGACCGAGCGCCGGGCCAATGCGCGGCAGCGGCGGCGCGGGCGGAACGGAGCGGAGAGCGCGGAGCCGAGCGCGCTGAGCCCCGCACGGCCCGCACCGCCCGGCTGTCCTGTCCTGTCCTGTCCTGTCCTGTCCTCCCCCCGCTCCGGCACGGTCCGCTGACACCCGTACTGCCGACTGCGTTCCCTCGCACTAATGGCTGTGTCCCCAGCACCGCCCGCTGTCCCCCCGCACAGCCGGCTGGCCCCTGCACCGCTCCCCGGTACAGCCGGCTCTGTCCCGCGGCGCGGCTGGCTGTATCCGCCCACCCCGCACGGTCCCGGCCGTACTGGAGGGCAAGAGCGGAGTTGCCGCTGCCCTAGGGGGGCCGTCCCGCTCCCGCCGAGCGCCTCGAGGGGAGCGGAGCCCTTCCAGCCCAAACTGACCTGGTACCAGCGCCGGCCTCCCCCGGCCGCCTTTGCGCGGATCCCCCGCACGATTTCCGCAAAGGGTTACAGCCTTGAAAGAGAAGAAAACATCAGAGAGCAGAGTTATGCCTTCAAATGCCGGTGCTCCTTGCCAGATCCTATCCTAAGCCAATGAAATGTGCCTTGCGAAGAGAAAGAAGTCTTAATTTACGGCTGCGGAGCCAACAGCAGCCAGGAGACTCCGGCCCCGCCTGTGGCTGCCCGTGCGTTGCCAGATCCCCCGGCCGCGCTCCCCGCACCGCGGGCACAGTAAAGGCAGGACGGATCATGTAGGGACGGAGTGCGGGGCACGCTCGAAAGGCCGGATGTCACCGTGCTTCCCAAATGTCGCGCCCCACCAGCTGTCCAAACCACACCTAAACTTCAAAGACCAGTCAGGTACCATGAGCCCCGGATGGCATCTTCTCACCACGACAGATTTCTGGCTGCCTCACCCACACCCCTGTGCTTGGCCCCAAGCAGCATTAGGCAATAGCTCATGAGCTCTGAATAATTTATAGATCTATTTTATTATTATTCTGATTTCCCAGAACCAAGGCAAGACATCTTGTGCCTGCCCCTTACATGGCAGCAGGGCGCTCCAGGGACCAGACTGAGAGTTGCTGTTTTTCCATACATCTGTACTTTTTTCTGGGTGGTAAGGAGAAGGATTTAAAAATCAATGAAGCAAAATGTTACAGACCAAATTCACTGTGCTGTGTGCTATGGCTCTCTGAAAACCTGATGTCCTGGAGAAGCTGGCAGGAGCTGCCACACTGGAGCAAGTGGTCCTGCCAGCCCAGGAGCTCCAAGCATACATGGATTTGGGATGGTCCAGGATGGAATTCCCATCCCAGAAATCACAAGATAGTGGGCCACTAATGCAGTTTCTTCCTTCCCATCCTGAAGTGGTTTAGAGTGTAAAAAAACCCCAAACATCCCCCCTGCCCCCAGCAATTATGGCCATTGGATTGTTCCTCCAAGAATCAGCAGTGATCTTCAGCACGTCAGTGATTCGTTCTGCATTGCTGGGCCGCTGCATAAGAAGGCAAAAGGCAGACAGATCAAAAAGGCTCTTCGACTTTGCCACAGTCTTGGCACAGGATCACCTTTTAAATTTATTCTGCCATGTGATTTTCACATCAGATGCCAAAAAGTGCTGCTTTACAGCAAATGCTAACCAGGTCCAGCAACTCAAGCATCTAAATGGACCATTTACTTCGTCTCAAATGTCTCTAGAACAGAAGAAAAGCAGCTGTCCTGCATATTACAGCTCCCTGGCCCCAGAGCAGAACCTTAACTCCTCAAGCCCCAAAGGAGGGCTGTGAAGGGAAGAGCTAAAGGAGGTGGCAAACCTCCTTCAGGGCCTGTGCCTGATTATATGGATTAAAGTAGCTCCAGGGCTGCTCTGACTTCTGCCTGGTCTGGCTCCACCCTTCAGCCCCCAGAAAAGGAAGAAAACAAAATGAGGGTTTGGAGCTGCCTGTGCAACGTCTGGTCTGTGCAAATGACCAAGTGAAAAAAATAAATTGTTTATATGAGGATGAGGGGTGGATGGTTTTGCAGAAGCCACAGTACCCTGGGAGGGGTTTAAAAAGAAGATTAATATTTGCTGTGGCTCTTTATCACCAGTTTGAATAATGGTTAAGGTGCAGTGTAACTCTTCAGAGATGTGGAGTTTTATAGAAATCCCTTCCTATACCCTAGGTAATCCAACAAATGCAACAGCAAAGGCACAATAAGAACATCCTAGGCATCCTTAATTTGCCCATTATGTCTTTTTAATTGGGGTGTTTTACTCATTAAAAGCATGGCATGTAATTTCATAATCCTATTTTAGGCTCCAAAACTAAGCTTCCAACCTGCACATCTCATGTGGATGAAATCTTTACAACAAACATACACCTAAAAACCCCAAACCAAAATAAACCAAGAATAAACAAAGTGATCTCGTTCAAGTTGGGGCTTTACTGCCTCGCACTAAAACAAAAGTGGGCTACTATCAAAATTAACTAAATGCATCATAGCCAATAATAAATTGATCCATTTGCTGTGTGTCTGGCTTCATAGCACACACATCATATTTTCATGAGCAGAGTGATATTGCTGCTCTTCAGGTCAGATTTTAAGGGGTAGCATCACCAATTCAGAGACATGACAGGCTTTTTATTATATTTTCTGTTTATAATTTTGATTCCAGTCCTCAGCAACACTTCAGATGCACAAATCCTTATTGAAACTGGCTTGATGCGGATTACAGCCTGAAGCACAAAGGAAGTCTTTATCACTTATGGCCAGTGTTTTAGGAGCTTATAACTGTAATCAGGTAGGGATTATATCAGCATGATCCATACAAGCTGAACCATGGCAAAAAGCTTTTTTCTGTTTGACCTTCCCATGACAATAATAGAAATGGAAAACATGCAACAAACAGATGCCACTGAAGTAGAATCACTGTCCACTGCAGGCAGAAGTTACTACTTTGTATTTTGAAAGAAAAATTAGTCATTAATTAGTAGAAGCAGATCCTTGTATGGTGCATTGTTATCCAGGATTATTTCATTAGGATCTGCTGACCTAATTTCTGCATTGGAAAGAGAATTACATTTTTTCACACTATTGGGATTGGGGAAAAGAAAAAAGTAATAACATAGATTATTCAAACTTTTAAAAATATGGTCGCAAACAAGTAGAGGTACCTGTACTGATAGCTCTACAGATGCCAAATGAACCAAGGACCATTACAAATATGTAACGATGTCTTCCCTAGAATCCGATTTTGGTTTTCTTAAAATACATAATTCCTAATTAAAACATATGGAATCCAGCTAATACAGCCTCATGACTAAGGGATTTAGTGAAGAGCAGGAATTTTTTTTTATTACTGCTATGATGGTCCCCTCTGTCACAGGTCATCCTTAGCTTACTCCTCCTGCAATCACTCTGGGGATAGCTGACTCAGATAAATTAAAAGAGCTTCATTTGGGAAGCTTCCCCAGCACACGAAAGGATTCGCCTCCTAATCTGTCAAAATCCAATAACGTTAAAGCAACTGCAACCTGCTGACAGCTCAGCAGGGCCCCCAAACCAATGGACAGGACCCACAACCCAGCACTGGACAGGACTAACACCCACCTTGGAAGCAGCAGCAGGAGAGGTTTCTGCTGCTGAAATATTTTGTGCCCAAGTGCTGTGAGCTCACAGGGTCCGAGTGGTTCAGCCACCCCAGGATGTTGCCAATGACCCCTCACCCCCTCAGGAGCTGCACACAAGGAGGGACGTGTGTCCCCAGAGCCCTGCCCTCTGCCCCTCATCAGCACTGGCACAAAGGCTCATCTCCACATGTCTGACATTGAAGGTCCTTGCTAATAGCCCACCACAGGTGTGCTCAGTGCTCTGCTCAGATCACCTTACAGCCACTCACCTGTATGGCTCAGAGCAGCAGCTGCTCTTTCACGAGGCCTTATGGAAACCTTTGGAAGGGGACAATGCTACAAGCCCTTACAAAGTGCAGAACAGAGGAAAGAGCTCCCCCAAAGCTATCCAATGGCAGGGACAACCTTCTAATACTGAGCCTACAAAACCACAGACAGGTATTTTATCTTTCCTATTAACTACTCTCCCTTGCTAATGATTTCCATGTACCAGTCAAGAAGGGAGCCTGGGAGTAACATCAGGCTGCATATTCCTAAAGAACAAGATCACCTGAAAAGTTCAAGAAATCCTTTCTACCAAGCTCACAGGCAAGATGGGACCCTCACAACCTTCTGAAATCAAAGGCTCAGGTTATCTTGGAAGGCAACTTGTCCTGCCCAGGAGTGATGATGGTTTGTGGAGGACAAGAGAAACAGTGCTGGTGGGAAAAGCTCTGCAGCCCTCCCAGTGCTGACACCTGGATGGGGTTTTATGACCTGCCAAGCTCCTTCTGCCATGCAGCTCACCTTGTTGTTAATGGCAGATATGTGTAAAATTCTCTGACTGGTTGTACCAGCAATATTTTTAAAGGGGTAGTTGTGGTTTTCTGCCCATTACACTGCTGGTAAGGAATCCAGATGCCACTGTATTCCCACTCACACCAGCCCAAGCCATTCCTGCAGCAGCAGGAACAGTCACTCCAGGGGAAAAGCTCTTTCCCTGCCTCTAAGGACTTTTCAAGGAAAGTTACTTTTTCCTTTTTTCTTTCTGTTTCAGCTCAGTCAATAGCACTTTTGTGTAAGCACAGAGCTGCAGTAGGCCTTGTTTTCAGTGTTTTGGAACCTGCTTGATTTTTGATTTTTTTTTGATGTTTTTATTGCAGAGTCCATTAGGGAGGAGAACCTTCTGGTGAGTTACCTGCCATTTCTAGCACCTGCTGACAAAGGCTAATATACCTCCTGCTTGCCCTGTCACAAAGTCTAAGATGAAGTCTACAAAGTCTGCAATTCACCTATTGCCTTTAATCCTGCAGATAACAGCACAACAAGATCCACTGTCTGGGGGTTGAACCTAAACTATACACTTAGGTGTCCATTCCAGTGAAAGTAGTTAACAGGCAGGATGTGAGAGCAAGGCAGCCTCTCCTGCACTGGCAGGTGACACCAAGACCAGATGCATCTCTGGAAGAGATGGCTGAGGTCAACCATAAATTAACAGGCTCATTTTGAGGGAAAAAAGAATGATTCTGTGTCCAATTGCATGGTCTGGTATGGAGGAGACCAGAGGAGATGGGCCAATAAGTCTTTTCTGCACTCATGAACTTTCTGAATCTTTCTTATCCGGAGGGGAAGAATGGCAAGGGCTCCCTTTGCCATGTTACCATGGCTGACTCTTAATCACTAGCAGGGCTGGCAGTAGCTGTTGTGCAACACCACTTTCCCCAGCACTGGGCCCTGTTCCCCTGCAATGCTCCCAACCCCTGCTGGTCTCAGAAGAATTGAGCCCAAAGCTCCACATAGCAATTCAAATGCATCACCAGACATTAGGCCACCGGGTTAACCACTGTTTAATTTCGTCACATTTGTTTGTGAGTTATGTACGTGCCTTTCTTTTGTCAACATCTCCTTTTAGAAAGGATATTGATTTTGTTTTCAAAGGCTCTCGAAAATAAAATGAATGACTACATTCTAAGGAAGAGTCATTTTCTCAACAGCTGTAAATAATTTATTGTTCGCAACCCACCCAGATCAAAAGATACTTCATCAACTGATGTGGCAAAATCTGGTGCAAGCTGCATTTCTATTATCTCAGATCCAATTAACCATTTGGAGCAGACTAAAACATAACTAGATCAATCCAGAATCAGATTAATATCCAATCCATAATCACATTAATCACAATCTGTCCATAATTAGCCATCAGATAATCCCATTGGACAGGAGGTGACATGCAGTATCCCATTATCTCATTAATTATCTATTTTCAGTATCAGACATTGTGCCCAAACACAAGGAAATGTTTTTTAAAGGAAAATGGATAGGGAATTCTCATTTTGCTACATCCTCCCCATCGAAGCTCCCAGTGTCTCAGTCTTGGAGTTTTACAACATTTCTTTGTTTTGTCATATTCTGCTTGGACCAAGGGAGGTTTTTTGAGAGACATCATCTTTTTAATAAAATATGACCATCTTAGGAAGATGGATAAATAAAACATTTGTTTCATGCGAAGAAGTTTGTGAAAGAAAGAAAACTCTTCATCAAAAGTTTTAATGGTAACATGATAACAATAGCTTTGCAATGCTAAATCTTATTGCAGATGGTTCCTGTCTTTTTTTGTAATGTAAGTGAAATTGCGTTCCATCTGTTTTAATTTTATAATGGACTTAATCCATGGTTGGCTCTGAAAGAATCAGCATTTACTGCCTTTGCAATCTGCTGCAAACAAAAAAAAATTGTTACCATTTCCCCCTTCTAGAGGGAACTTGTACATCTATCTGGGAGAAAACCCCAGAGCTGCTCTGTAGAGAGTGGGGAGCACCTTTAGGCAGCCCCAGCCCGTGGCCAGCAGCCCCTGCCAGCTCTCACACCAAACCCAGAGCTGCTGCAGAAGAGGCTGGAATCTCTGGGCACTGGGTGGAGAGCGAGGAGTGATCAGTGTGACAGGAGAGATTGCACTTGGCTCTGACTAGAAAATGCTTCCAGCACTTCCAAGTTACCTGAACACAGTGGTCCAGAGGTGCCTCCTGGACTGAATTATTCCATCATTTTATGATGTGATTTCCCTTACCCTCCCTCAGATGAACCAACAATTAACCTGTTTGTAAAACATGCGGTATCAAGCTGGTTCAATGCCTCACAGCATTACCAGTAGTCATTTTAAAGCTTTTTGTATATCGCATAGAGGAGATGCAGGGCTTTCAACACTTTCCTAGCACGTCTTTTTTTTTTGTTTTTCTTCTAAACTGCCTGTGCAGCACTGCTACCCTGTTCCTACCTGCCTTGTTGGGAAGTGAGTCCAGTCCAACCACACCTGCCTGGTGTGAGCACATTGCTCTGTTCAGATACAGGTGTGACTGCAGCACAGCTTTCCATAGATTTGGAAAAGTTTGGTTGGCTCAGCTGTAACTTTACAAATTCCTAAACTGGTGGGAGGTTTGGGAGAGCAGACAGGATCCTGCCCTCGAGTGGGAAAAGGGTGATGCAACACAGAGCATCCCTGCCAAGCTGCTGTATTCTTAGACATGTCTCATTCTCCTATCACTCCGACATTTTTGCATTTTATTGTTAACACATGCAGATAGTGACTCACCCAGGAACCTGAATTCTGGCTCAGGCTGAAGTCACCCTCCTGTACCCTCTTTTCTGCAGGTGCCCAGGCACGGACCTGTGGTGCCCACAGTGCTGCAGAGGTTCCCATCACCTATCCCTCGGAGTGACCCCAGTTTGAAGTACCGACCAAACTTTTCCAAATGCCTTCATACCTCTCACCCCCCACCCAGCTCTGCCGCTGGCCAGCGAGCCGCGCTAGCGGCAGGCAGCAGTGAGAGCGCAGCCCCGAGCAGGGTACACAGGCAGGAACACACGGGCTCACCCTGCCCTGAGGATGTCACTGCTGCACCGCCCCTCTGCACCTCCGCACACGCAGGGGCAGGCAGGGACACCAAACTCCCCTGGTGACATGCGTGCCTGCTGAAGCGGGGGCTTCAAATGCTATCCATCCTCCTCTCCCCGCAGCTATGGTACAAATTTAAGAGCTTGCTTTCAACATTTGGGGCCCTCAAAGGGGTAGCAGGGGCCGTGACCAGGCTGGGAGAGCGGGTCAAATAGTGAAGCACTTTATCCAAAGAGTCCTCTCCCCCTCCCCAGCTTCTGAGGCTTCATACCTGCAGAGTGCCTGACTAGCGCAAGAGACAAGTGCTTCAGCTGGAAGACCCATCCCGCCTCCCTCCTCTGAGGAAAACGAGCGCAGCCTGCCCTTCCTGAGCCAACATCTAAAGTCATCACGTCCTCCCCGAGCTATACAGGTTGGCAAATGCCTGTCAAATTCCACGTATAAAATTAAAAAGGTGATTACATGGAAGTGAAGGAAAGGACCAAAGCCCCAAGACAGCAGCAATCTCAATGCCCGCATATTTAAGCCTTCCTGGACCTTATGAGACACTCGTGTTGCTGTGCTGCAAAGTCTTTGGGAATTTAACGCTGAGTCAAAGGCCACGGAAGTGCTTTCCCTATTTTTCTGCTAATGCACGGGAAGCCCATGGTGACTGGGGGGAAAGAAGGAAGAGAAAAGAGCAGAAGGAAGAAAAAAGCAACAGGAGAGGTTCGGCTGCGGGAACAGCATGGAACCAGGCGCAAGAAAATGCGGTAAAATACTGTTTTTCTCCTCTAATTTCAACTCGTCACAGGGCTGCTGCCCGGGACGGCCGCCCCGACGATGCGGTCGGTTCTGTTCGGGTCCGTAGGGGCGGCTCTCCCGCACACGGGCCTCATCAGGGAACTGCTCCGCGGGTGCGCAGCGTCGAGCCGGCGTCCACCGCGCAGCCCCTTCCCGTCTGCCGCGGAGATGCGCCTGTGCGCAGCGCCGGAACTGTCCCGCCGAGCCCGCCCGCGGGCACCTGCCAGCGGCACGCCGAAACGCGGGGGAAAGAACAACGAAATTAAATGCAAAAGAGACGAGAAAGAGAAGGAAGAGGGAAATTAAAGGAGAAAAAATTAGGCGAACTAAAAGTCAAGTAGAATAACAGGGAAAACAGAGGAGGGAAAAAAGCTACAATGCATCTCCTTCTCCTCGGGCTGCCGATGCCGCCGTTCCCCGAGCGCGCAGGGCCGAGGCGCAGCACGGCGGGCGGGGCAGAGGGTCCCGGAGCGCGGGGCGCGGAGGAGCTTCTCCCGCGGGGCGCGGGGCCGCGCGTCCCGTCAGTGCCGGCGTCGTGCGGCTCCGGGCCGGGTCCCGCGGGGCGTGCGCCCCGCTCCGCGCCCGCCGCGCGCCCATTGTTCGGCAGCGCCAATCCGCGGGCTCTCCCCGCGGCCGCCAATCGCCTCCGGGGGCCGCGCGGTGAGGTCAGCGCCTCTGCGCGCTGACATCACGGCGCGGCCCGGCGGGGCGGGCCCGGGGGGGCGGGCGCGGCCCCCGCCCCGCGCCGCGCGGGTAGTGGTGGAGCGGCGGCTCCGCATCCCGCATCGCTGCCGGTGCGCAGGGGGCCGCCCGCATGGTGGACATCCTCCTCCCGCGGCCGCTCCCGGGCGCCATGGGGGAGCCCTCCAAGAGTAAGTGCGCGCAGCGCAGCGGAACGCGGGGCCGGGGCGGGCGGGCGTGCGCGGGACCCTGCGGGTCGAGCTCCGCGCCGCCGCTGCCGTCGGGCGGACGGGCGGCCCCGGGCGCGCTGACAGCGCCGGGAAGGGCTGCGGCCCCTCGGAGGGCGCGGGCGGCTGCGGGCTCGGCCCGTGTCAACTCCGGTGCCGCTATTCCCGTTCGTGCCCGGCGCTTCCCGGCCCCTCTGTCCTTTCTGCTGTCCGCGCCGCTGAGCTCATTTCTTTCGACTGTTTCCATTTCTTTCTCTGCTGCCCTCTGCTCTTCCTTTATTTCTTTCTTTGGTCGTGTTACCCTTTTTCTTTCTTTATTTCTTTCGTGTTTGTATTTTTTTTTTAATTCTCTTTTCGTTTTAAAAAAATATATTTTCTTTCTGTTCTTGTTTAGTTTTATTTCTCTTTCTGTCTCTTTGATTCCATGTCTCTTACTGTTTTCATTTGTCCATGTTCCCATTTTAATCATCTCTGGGTTTTCGATGCTTTTGTATCTCCTTCCGTCATTCTGTTTTAATTTCTTTTTCCTTCATTCTTTCCTTTCTTCTTTCTTTGTTTCTTTCCTTATTTCTTTCAAGTTTTCCTCAGCCGTTGCTTTAATGGTTTTGTATCTCTGCTTTTATTTTCCTTTTCCAAAATTCTGCTTTTACGTCTCTGTCTTTCTGCATTTATTTGCCTTGCTCAAGCTTCTGTCTTTTTTTTTCTTTCTCTCTTTTTTTTTTTTTCGCTTTTTCCTGGCCGTATTAATTTGTCTCCTTTCATGTTTCCATCCTTTCTGTCCGTGTGTCTGTGTTTATTTCTCTTTCTTCCTCTTTTGGAAAAAAACCAAAACAAATCAGAATAAGAAAAAAGGATGAAGTGTAAAAAAGAAAAAGTGCTTTTCCCTCATTGCTGACCTCTGCTCTGACACACTGCTGGCTCTGACCGTACCCCGCTCGCTCCCGGCAGGGCGGCCGGGGCTGGCCCTGTGCGCGGGCTGCGGGGGCCGCATCCAGGACCCCTTCCTGCTGCGGGTGTCGCCGGACCTGGAGTGGCACGTCGCCTGCCTCAAGTGCGCCGAGTGCGGGCAGCCCCTGGACGAGACCTGCACATGCTTCCTGCGCGACGGCAAGGCCTACTGCAAACGGGATTACAGCAGGTGACCCCGAATGCGCCGGCGCTCGTTAGAACAAAAATAACCTAGACCCGAAAAAGCACAAAAGCCCCTAAAACTCCCCGAATTTCCCCCAACGAAAGCCCGACTCTGGGCCGCTGCCCGGCGCCGCGGCACCGCCTGGAGCCGCCCCGACGGCGCGGCCGCGGGCCCTGACGGCGTCGCGTCCCCGCAGGCTCTTCGGCATCAAGTGCGCCCAGTGCCGGGCGGCGTTCAGCAGCAGCGACCTGGTGATGCGCGCCCGCGACCACGTCTACCACCTGGAGTGCTTCCGCTGCGCCGCCTGCGGCCGCCAGCTCCTGCCCGGCGACCAGTTCTGCCTGCGGGAGCGCGACCTGCTCTGCCGCGCCGACCACGGGCCGCCCCCCGACGGCGCCGCCGCCCGCGGACCGCGCAGCCCCGCGCTGCCGCCGGCCGCCGCCGCGCACCTCGCAGGTACCGGCTCCCCGGCGGGGCGGGCGGCGGGGCGGGGAGGGTGTCGGGAGGGCTGCGGCGGGCGAGCGGGCGGCGGCGCTGACGGTGCGCGCCCTCCCCGCCCGTCGCAGAGCCGGTGCCCGGGCGGCCGCCCGCCCCGCGGCCGCCGGCGCACAAGGCGGCGGAGAAGACCACCCGCGTGCGGACGGTGCTGAACGAGAAGCAGCTGCACACGCTGCGGACCTGCTACGCCGCCAACCCGCGCCCCGACGCCCTGATGAAGGAGCAGCTCGTGGAAATGACGGGGCTCAGTCCCCGCGTCATCCGCGTTTGGTTCCAGAACAAGCGCTGCAAGGACAAGAAAAAGTCCATTCTCATGAAGCAGCTCCAGCAGCAGCAGCACAGCGACAAGACGGTGAGCGCCCGCCTTCCCCGGCGGGGAGGGAGATGTGGGTGGGGGGCTCGGGCGGCGGTCGCGCTGAATCCCCGTGTGCCCGCAGAGCCTGCAGGGCCTCACCGGGACTCCGCTCGTGGCCGGCAGCCCCATCCGCCACGAGAGCGCCGTGCAGGGCACCGCCGTGGAGGTCCAGACCTACCAGCCGCCCTGGAAGGCGCTCAGCGAGTTCGCCCTGCAGAGCGACCTGGAGCAGCCCGCCGCCTTCCAGCAGCTGGTGAGCCGCGCCGGGCCGTCCGTCGGGCCGCAGGGGACGGGCAGATGCCGGCCCGCCGGGCCCGGCTGCTGAGGGAGGGGGACGGGGCAGGGGGCGACCGCGCCAGGCCCTCACAGACGCTGCTCCCCCAGGTCTCCTTCTCCGAGTCCGGCTCCTTGGGCACCTCCTCCGGCAGCGACGTGACCTCGCTGTCCTCCCAGCTCCCCGACACCCCCAACAGCATGGTACCCAGCCCAGCCGAGACGTGAAGCGGCCGGTCCGCCCCGCCGCGGGACCTCCGCATGCCTGCGCTCCCTGCATGAGACACCCGGCCCCGGGCCGCTCCCAGAGCGCCGGACAAACGCCTTTGTTTTTTAATTATTCTTATTTAAAAACAAACAAAAAATATGTTACCTGTCGGCCAAAAAAGCACCGGGATCCTCGCTGCCTTCACCAGACCGGAGAGAGAGCCCCCGCCCTGGTTTTTTTCGTGGTTTTGGTTTGGTTTTTTTTTCTGCCCTGCGGATTTCGGTGTTTCTTTTCCCCAAAGAAACTCGGATTTCCCCGCCGAAGCCCGGCACAATGACAGGCTTCCTCGCCCGCTGTTTGAGCTGGGGACGGCTTTTCTTTCCTTTTTGAAAGGGAAAAATAAATACTAAAACCAAAATCTACAAAATGGGGAGAGACTCCTCTCCTCCGGCGTGCGGCCGCGGAGCTGGCCTGGACCTTCCTCCGCGAAGCCGCGCCGTCCAGCCTCATCTCACACCGATGCCTCACTCGGGCCACGCTGCCCGGCCCCCCACGATCGCTGGAAAAAAGGGACACGGGAACGAGACTTTAACGGGAAAACCAGTACTAATAATGTTAAGTTATCAATGGACGAAGGACGGATTGTTTGCGCCTTTAACGATCAAAAGTAAGTTATTGTTATTTATTGTCAGAGTCAGCGGTTGAATAGTGGGATTAAATATTTTGGACTTAATAAAAAAAAAAAAAAAGAAAACAAAAATGGTTTTAAACGAAAAAACCAAAACGAACTAAAAAAAGTCGCGTAAGGGTGGCCAAGAGGCACCCCAGGTGCCGAGCGGATCGGGAGCGGAACAGAGCGGGTCGGGACGGGCACAGCCCCGGCTTCTCCCGCACGGCCTCCCCGCACGGCGCTAATCGGCTTTCAGAACCGGGGCCGCTTATTTATAGCGGGGGAGGCGGAGCGCAGGTTTCCCTTTCGGAGTAGCCCCCAGGCTCGCCCGGCCGTGCCCGCACCTGCCGCGGTGCGGGGCCGCCTCGCCTTCTCCCGGGGTGGCGGCGCTGGGCGGCGGAGCTCCCCCGGGGCGGCGGGGTGAGCCCTACATTCAGCTTCTCCACCCCCCCGTCCAGACCCAGGCGGCGACTCCTTATCTGCCTCTGGCATCACCTGTGAGAGCGGCAGGGCCGCTCCAGCTCCCGCGCCCTCCCCCTTACCCGCGCGGGACCGCTCAGGGCCAGCTCCCCGTGGGACAGCAGGCCCGGCCAAGCTCAAGCCACGGGGAGCCGCTCCCTTACCCCACCCCCGGGCAGCGGGGCGAGAGCTGGGCCCCTACCGGAGCCCTCCGGGCTGCAGGGGATGGGCAGCGCGGCGCCGTGGCGGCTCCACCACCCCGACAGACTGCGCAGCGAGTGCAGGGACCGGGCTCCCAGGGCGAGCTGCCCTCGCGGGGCACGGAGCGGTGCGGGCTGCGGGCCCGCCTCAGCCCGGGGCTGCTCTGCACCGCCGGGACGAGCTGTCCCGGCTGAGGACAGGTGGGGATGGGCATCCTGCCGCCCTCCCAGCCCTACCGCGGGGCCCCCGCCGTTACCTGGCTCCGTCCGGGTCGGGCTGGAACTCGGCGCGTTCTCTCGGGGCCGGGCTGGAGCTCGGCGCGTGCCTCGCCTCAGGGCCGGGCCGGGCCGCTATGGGCGGCGCTGGGGCCGCCGAGAAGGGACCGTTCCGCTGCCGGTGGCGATCACGGTACTGGTCCTCGCTCCGGCACCGGTCTCGGTCCCCGTCCTGCCCGGGTCGAGCTGCCGGTGTCCGCGGGCCGGGATCGGCGCAGGGCAGGGCCGGGGTGCCGCGCGCCCCCTCAGAGCCGCCGCACGCGGGAGCGGCCCCGGGCGGAGCCGGCGCGCGGAGCCCACGGCGCGCGCGGAGCCGTGAGGGCTCCGCGGGGCCCGCTCGATCCGAGCGAGGCGTTAAAAATGCATGAGCTCTAAAATATCTGTCCTAGGTGACGTATCCCCAATCACCCAAAAAATTATAAGCAAACTTTCCCCGGGGCCAGATCTGACGAATTACTTTGATTTGATTCCGATTGACTCTTGATTACCGAGAAAAACATCTTATCAGGGGTTTTTTCTCTCTTTCTGAACCGTGTTGCTTATGGTAACTCAAACATACTGATGATTTTAACACAGGAATCACACAAGACAGAATAAGTTATTTTATTACAAGATATATAGAACATATTTTCTCTATTTGCAACCTTATTTCAGCAGTTCTGCAGTGCAAGTCCCACCACAGGGCAGAAAACACCAAAATCATGACATTGGATACAAGAACGAAATAAACTCAAATTATCAAAATTACAAAACAGAACTTGGAAGTATCTACAGTACTTATATAAATAGTGCAAATTATATATCTATAGGATAATTATTTAGAGTATCAAAACCATTTTGGAACAGCGTCTTAAAGAAGGTAATCAGCAGGAACTGGTCAGTGTGATGATGTTAGAGATTTAAAAGCTAAATACAACTCTTATTTTTTCAAGAAGAACTGTCGAGCTTCTTCCCAGGACTGCCGGGGGAATCTGTTGGAGAGCTCAAGATAATCTTGAGAACTGAAAAATTTTTCTGTTGAAGACAGAACATAAAATTACCAAGTTATTCCCTCTTAAGATAAGAACGCAGTAAAACAAGAATAATGAATGTGCAGCCAATTTGGGTGATTTACTCCCCTCCCTCTATCCAAATCTCCTCAGACCGTGCGGTGACACTTCTGTGGAGCTCAGGGCATCTATGCTTGGCTCTAAGAATGGGAGCAGAGGCTCTGATGAGTAAAGGCTTCCATGTGTGAGCTGCTCAGGCTCTCTGCCCTGTGCAGAGAACATTTCACATCTTTGCACACTTCATGTTCTCGGGCACACCACTCAGCCTCGTTATACTCTGGGCAGCCTCAGTGGCATTTTCTGCCCAGCAGTTTCTTTTTTTTACTACAAAGGGCTGCAGAAGAGTTGTGTTCCTGACTCCCCAGAGCTCAGAGCACAAGCACAAATGCAGCTTTCACTCCTGAGAGTGTGCAGTGACGTGGACAGGACTTCACTGTGCCAGGTTGGAGGGTCTGACCCTCCACGCAGCACCCAACTGTGAAGTTTGTGCTTTCAGGTTTTATTCCCATCAGTGTTACTATTCTCTTTTTTGGGGGGGACACCATCCTTCACATTCAAGTGATATAAGAGATAAAAATAATCCTGCCTACACTATTATTAACTTTTCTGCAACTGGGGAATGTTTAGAAATCACACTCACATGTTACCATATTTTTGTTTAGAAGTTCCTCCAGTTTGAATAGTGAAAATAAAAAGCAAGTTTTTCCATTTGGATTTTTGATGTTTCTTGAGAAGAATCTCATGGAAATACAGTCCTGGAAAGTTGGTGCTGCAGACACTGCACGAGTCTGCTTCAGACTGAGATGTCTGATGTTGACAGTAACAATGTCCATAAAGTTACTTTCATTTTATAATTTATTTTTAAACAAAAACTTGATGCTTTAGACCTAGAACCACTCACCTCCTAGCAAATGCTTAAGAAATGGTGGTGGATTTCTACTTATGAGGGAGAAATGACTGTCCGAGCGTTGCATTTTATGCACAATTCTCAAGACCAGATGCCCATCAACACTTGAATTTCAGATGTGTTTAGCAAGTAACAGCCATCTCAGCTGAGAATCTTTCAAATGTTTTGCCTAGAAAGGTTGACTGCATTTAAAATAATATTTAAAATAACTGAGGAGGGAAAAAAAATCCTGACTCTTCTGCAAACTGACAGACTTTAAAGGACAATTACAGGACAGTATTTTAGAGATTTTTGGCTCCCTGAGTGTATTGGCATGGCTATGTAGCTTCTGCAACCTAAAACTTTTGAAGGCAGCCTTTGTGTCAGCTAATTAAATATGTGCAGGTACAGTATCACATTTAAGACACGACACCACAGAGCACTGAATAAAGATTAACAGCCTGAATCCCCGACAGAGGAGCAGCGGGCTGGAACACACGGATGTGCAGGTCAGGATGTGAGGCAGGGAGCCCACCCCAAACTGTACATTTACTGTATTCCCCCTCAGCCACACCGATTCAAGGAACTTAAATCACAGTATCTACATGTTTTGCTACCCAGTTGTTACTCTGTTACACTGCAGGGAACCTACCCCTCTGCTGAGATAACTGATTTTCCATTTGGCCTGAGCTCTGTGCAAAATCCTGTGGGAGAAAACAAACAAAAAAAAGACATCAGGTATTCAGATCTTACATCTGAGGAATTAAAACAACATTCAAAAGTCTTCACAGTCATTCAAAAATACTAATACTTCATGTAATCTGTAAATTAACAAACTCTGGCTTGTTTTCTACATATCATAACACAGTACTATCAGCATTTAAATTCTGTAATTTACAGTGGATTTTTACACATTTATTTATATCTGTTTTCAAAAAATAAATTTTTAGTGAATGTCTTCTTAGGAAATAGCTATTATTATGATTTTTATTTAGCCATTTAACCATAGCAATGTTTCTGTAAAACAAATGGTGTTTCAGACCTTTGCTCTCTACTCCAAATACACTCTTACAAAATTCATGACTGATTCCAATTTCAATGGCTGTGCTTCCCAGCAACCTGGGAGCCTGAGGTGCTGATCTCCTGGGAGAAGGTGGAGTTGCTGCCCAGCGCTGCTGTCCCTGACAGCCAGCTGTGCCCCCAGCTGTGCCCCCAGCACTGAGGACTGTGTGATCCCGCTGCTGTGGGGTGTTGGGGCGCAGCATCCTCACAGCCAGCACGGACAGAGACCTGGCCTGGAACCAGCCAGCTCCCCACTACAGATCCTGCCCTTTGCTGCAGTCTCCACCCAGCAGAATAGTGAAGAAGGGATTACCCGAGATAAGATACAGCACAGCAAATCGTGGATACTCCTGAATGTTTCTACTTATTCCTGCACATCTCCAAACAGAAGTAACAAAAATAAACAGGCTGATGCAAA